TCCTCTGGGGCCCACCACTACAGCCCTTAAATTAGGCAGAGTGATCTGCCCTGAGCAGAGCAGGTCCCTCCCTTCCCCACCATGCTGAGCTCTTTATCTCTGCTGTCCTGCTGCCCTGGGAGGCTGTGGGACCGGAAAGCAGAGCCAAACCCCCTGCAAGGCACCTCCAGTGTCACACAGCCTGCCCTGAGCTCAGCTCAGGCAAAGAACTCCCTGGGCAGCAGCTCCAGGCCTTGCTGCAGGCACTCAGTGTTGGCAACGCTGTGTAGAGACCTCCCAGGTCATGGTTTCTTGAAGGGCTGTTGCAAGAGCTTGAATTTGGGGGCTAAAGGGAAAAATGTGTCTGTAAAAGTTTCAGAGTGTTGGCACATTGACAAGGATCCATGCAGGGTCCTCTCTAAAGGCAAAGGATACTGCAGCCCCCAAGTTCCTCAGGGGATGATCTCACAGCTCTCCTCCAACCCTGATGATCCTGTGATTCTATGCCTTGCTCTACAGCACTGATAAGGGGAAGTTTTCACAGCACCTGCTTGAGAAACTGGATTTCACCACACCCATGAAATATCCAATATAATGGCAAAAGAGGAGCCAAGAATATAGATCCCAAATGCAAAGCTGGAGGAAACATCTTTGTAAACACCTTGTTCCTGCATTCTCCTCCAGCTCTGTGCCTCAGCTCCCCATGGTCACTCAGGGCTGAAAATAACCCAAGGAGGCCAACAACAGAGCTTTCTTTAGCAGATGCAGGTGTGCAATGTGACCTTGTCCCCAGGGTGCAACAGGCCCACATGTCCCTCCATCAGCTGGTCCCCAGCAGGCAGGGATGGCTGGAGAACTGCAGACATTTACTGGGAGTCACTGTTGGCAGAAGAATGAAATAGCAGCTTGGAAGACTTGGGGAAAAGCAGGGGGGGAAAAAAAAAGGAAGTTGCTATGGATATCACACAGGAACATGTTAACATGGTGGAGTTGGACTAACACAAAGAGTGTTCCAATCATATCCATTGTATGACACCAAGTTACCTGTCTCCAGAGCAGAAAATGAGCTTTTCCTTCTCTGATGAGTCAGAGGTAAATGCTCTACATGCTCAGAGCACAGTGACTCAGCCCAGCTGGAAATGAATAGCTCTGAGAGTTATTAATCTGTGTTTTCATGAGGGACTTGGCATTCTCAAGGAGCTACTCATAGCCTGCAAAACACTATATGATCTTGGCAGAACAGACCAGTGCATCATCCTTGCACTGGTACTGACATAATGACACTGAGATTTCATACTCTCAGGGTAAGAGACATTCTCAGAACACATCTGAGCTAGATATATAGGTTGGACATGCTCAGAACAGAACACATCTAGATATATAGGTTGGACATGATGATTTCAGAGGTCTTTTCCGACCTGATGGATTCTGTGATCTCATGGGAGCAGTACCACGGGGTGGAAAGAGAAGTGTTGTGTCAGGAGAGGTGTGCAGATATCAAACCTCCGAGTGACCCTTCAGATAAGCAGGACATGGCAGCTGATGTGATAAAATAACGAGGCTTAGGAACACAAAGGCAAGGCTGCTGCATGGGATGATTTCAGAGGTCTTTTCCGACCTGATGGATTCTGTGATCTCATGGGAGCAGTACCACGGGGTGGAAAGAGAAGTGTTGTGTCAGGAGAGGTGTGCAGATATCAAACCTCCGAGTGACCCTTCAGATAAGCAGGACATGGCAGCTGATGTGATAAAATAACGAGGCTTAGGAACACAAAGGCAAGGCTGCTGCATGGAAAAAACACAGACAATTATCAGAAGTGCTTGAGGAAAATGGGGAATGGTCTCAAAGCACCTGAGTTTTGTGGCCTCAGGTTGCAGTAAAGCTCTGCTGAACACCCCCTCAGTGCAGAGGCACTGCATGATGAGCAGCACTGAGTGAGGCTCTGCAACGAGCTGCACCAGGGAAATCTCATGGCACATATTTGCACAGTACCTGCCAAAACCAACTCTGCCTTCCCAGGGCTCTTTGCCCTTCACTTTTCCTTCAGCAGCAAAATGAACCTGCAGATGAACATCCTTTCAAGTAAGAACCAACCAAAACACAGAGATGAGGGATTTGGGATTGGGGGCAGACTACAAGATCTGAAGGATGCTGCATGTCTTTAGGACTCACTGCTGTTCCAACAGGCAACAAATCCCTTCTTGAATACCATGGCAGCACCTTCACTGCACAACTGCCTGACCCAGGTGAGGATTTTCACCACCTGCAACAAAATCAGAATGGCTGAGATTGGAAAGGACCTTAGAGCATCATCTAATCTTCACTCCCAGGACACTGTTGGTCTTCTTAGCCCCAGGTCATTAATGAAGTTGTTAAATAATCACCCTGTAGTGCCAGAGGCAAAGCTGAGGCTTCAGACTCAGTTTTATAGACATTTGCCAGAGCAAAAACCCAACAACAAATCCTTCCCTCCACCTCCCACTCCCGGGGCTGTATTTCATTCTGTGCTGTGCCCTGACACATCACTTCTGCTGTGGCTGCAAACAGGAGTTTGCAAGAGCAATGACACCTCCACAAAAGAGCCACAGACATGTGACTGATGTTAGGGCACACAAAGTGCAGTAAACTGTAAAAGATGCAAACTCTTTACTGCCCAATAAAGCCTGAGCAGAGTTAGCTCATTGTGTAGAGAAAAGGGAGCACCAGGGAGGGTTGCAGAGATTAAAGCAGCTGGAAAATATGTGGGTTTGTTTTGATGGAAACTTCATGAATTGCTCTAGTGGAGAATCAGGTGTGGAAATGACTTCACTGTCATTACACAGTTACATCAAAAGACTCAATGAGAATCAGAAAAGAATCTGCATTCCTTGTTTATTGGGTGAAAATGTCAATCTTGTTTCAGTTACTGCGTAGGTGACACAGTTGCAGCTCTCCGGCCACACTGATAAGATCAGATTGCAAATAAATAAAGAGAATGGTGAATGGAAAGATTAGGAATCACAGTTCCATCAGTGTTTTTCAGGATACATTTCAGGGTATTTCCTGTACATTCCAGTGCATTTTACAGTATGAATTCAAAGCACATTCCAGGGTATAACTCAAGTTCTGCAAGAGAGACACACACCTCTGCAGCAGGAGGAGCTGCACTGATTCCTGCAGCACAGAGACTGCACAGCAGTGTCACAGAGCAGCTCCCCCAGGCTCCTCTTGGGCTGACACCAATGTGTTCATGAATTATTTGGTTAATTCATACTGGTAACCCCAACTAAAGAGATTATCAAGGCCCAAATAATGTTTAACCCTTTAGTGCTGTCAAAGACAAGCAAGAAGTGCAAGATGAAGCAGAGTCAGCACCAGGAGCCTCTGCACCAGGATCCCCCAGAGTCAGCACCAATGGTTCCTGTACCAGGATTCTGTGCAATCCCATCCTGGGATTCTGTGAAAACAGTCAGAAGTCAGTGCACACGTGGGAGAGCTTGGCAGGAGGGAGTTAACACTGAAGCTGGCTGAGAGCATCCCCTGGGGAAGGATCATGAGAGGATCACTTTGGATCATCCCCTAGGAAGCAGCCTGAGTATCCCCTGGGGAACAGCCCATCCCTAGCAGCAGTGCAACAACCCTTAGTGCAACTCTACCAATGCCATGAAACCTTTCACCTGAGCTTTTGACAGACACCTCACTTGGGAAAAAATCAATGAACTGTATACGATGGGTTTGTCAGGAGAACACAGGAGGCTTCACCTCTTACTGGTGAGTGGCTGTTGATTAGAGCTTAGATTTTTAAGTGACTGCCAATTTCACAGGCTTAAAGAAATCACTGAGCAGAATTACTATCAATTTATGGCTGCACATCAGAGCAGGGAGGAGCAGAAATCAGTGATTAGTTGGGTTTTGTGCAGGTTCTTATCACACTCTGGCACATCACACATTCTCCTAAAGCAGCAACCAGCAGTTTTTCCATCTGGATATAAACCACCTTATCCAAACCCCAAATTCCAGCTCAATCCACAAGGACATCCTCAGCCCAGCCCCTGCAGTCCAGAGTGCACCTCAGCAGCTGCTCTCAGGTGTTCCTCACAGCTCATGGGAGTTGGCATGTGGCTCTGGGACTTTGTCAGTGTCACAGTTCTTGATCAGCTGAAAGAGGAACTCGACCTGTTTCTCATAATTCTCAATGGAGATTCTCTCATTCAACCCATGGATCCTGGAAGAAAAGGAATGTTTTTCATCCCAGTGTGAGTTTGTGACCCACCTGCACATCCCCAGCCATTATTTGCCTGTTGGCTTCATCAAGCAGTGCCCAGTGTGAAAAAACACCAACAGACAGAAAATTCTGCACTGGAACCAACCCAAATTCACTGACTAAGGCTCAGAGCACAACAACTAAGTCTGTGGTGCATGTGGAAAAAATCCTAGGAGTATTCCAGCTCTCTGCCCATTTCTTGGCCATTTATGTCACTGTCCTGTGTAGCCAGAACTTCACTCCTGCATCAGTTGCACCTCAACTGAGTGACAAATCTAGTGTAGGCTAAATAAATAATCTCTTGTATGATGCTGTTATCATCTTTACCTCAGGAAACCTAATTTCCAGCTTAAAGGAGCAAATCAATTCAGAGTGGCAAATGTCCAAACACAGGGATAAATCTCCTGGATAAAGTCAACTCCCAGAACACCTTTCACACTGCAGCATGAAGGATCCAGGCAGCTCCACCTTCTTTACTACCTCATGTACTACTGACTGAAACACCTGAATGTCTGTATTTGAAGGAACAGGGTCAGGGCTGACACTCTCCCAGGGTGATTCCAATCCCCTGTCAGTGCAGCACCCAAAGCTGCAGGAAATGGGTGGCCCAACACCACAGGAGGCCACAGCACCACCACACCAAGGTCTACAAGGCTGGGTTTCCTTCTGCCTAATGCACATGGATGTTGTCTTTGCCTGGTGCCCACCCAAGGCATCCCAGGTGAGGCAGAGCTCAGTACCTGGGCAGATCATCTGGTCTCAGGAGCACAGGGTTGAAGCGATAAATGGCCTTGGTGACGTTGGTGAAGTGTCTACTGTCTGTGTTTCCTATGCAGGTGCCTGGAAAACACACCTCAAGGTTAATCTGCAGGGGAGCAGCAATTTAATGACCCACATTTTCCCCAGGAGAAAGGAAAGGCATCTGATAACAGCCCTGGGATAAGCACTACCTCCACCAAAAGTAACATCACTGGAAACAGTTAGTTGGAACATCCTGGAAGAATATTGTCTCCATCACAAACAGGAGCTGAATAACTCAGTGTAAGAACAGCCATGGCACTCAGGCCCCCCCCCCCCCCAAAAAAAAGCTTACATCCAAAAACCACTCCACAACTAGCTGCAAGGAGGGGAAGGGGTTGGGGTCCCAAGGAACAATACAGAAAAGCA